TAAGGAAGGTTGTTGTGAATGGTGTCCTCTCATTCTCAATGTAGAGCACAACCTGGTGTGGTAGAGTCCCTCCCTGACCACCTGCTTACTTTGAATATTTTCTGATGACAGTCTAGCAGGATAAATGCCAACCATCAAAACTTTAGTTTAATGCCGTAATACAAAGGTAATTGAGCCCCAGCAGCCATGGGGAAGTGACAGAGAAAAACAGGTAAGCACAGCAGGATGGACTTGGGTACCATCTGGCTTCAGGAGTTCTTCATTACCTGGGTTTTCTCATTCTCTCCAAATTACTTCTGCTAGGGAGGGGCTACCCTCTGGAAATGAGCTCACTTTTTTTAGGTACTTGACTGAATATTAACATACCTAATTTTACATGTCCACATTTGGTGATTTCTGTCTAGGAACTCAGAGTTTGAATGGATGTGGGAAAAAACTCATGGAAAAGTTCATTTTTCTCTCACATAAAATCTAATACGTTTCTAATTTTGGCCATTTTTTTTAGACCTGTGGTCTTTGGACCATATTTTTCCATCTCTGTACTTCAATGCATTAGTTCCTAGGAATTTAATTTGATTCAGAAGAGGAGTTAGCAAATTAAAAAGTAGGATTTTTTTCTTGTAAGTTATTTCATTCTGGATATTGAGAAGTGAGTAACCTTCACAATGTCAAATTTAGAAGCACACAGGCCCTGTTTGCCTTTGTTTTACCCATGGTTGAGCCAGCATATTTTGATTAGCCAGGGATCATTTAGATAATCCTTTAAAAGTCTGGCCAGTTTCATCAGTCTTTGTGAGCCTACTGCACCCACCTAGTTGTTTTGGAAAGCACCAGAATCAGATCCTTACGATGTTTTTGTCTCTCAGAAGCTACAAATTGTCACAAACAGAAGGGTTTATTTACTGGTGGCAACGTGGTTTCATCTTAATGCAATATTTGAGACAGTGTCTTGGCTAATCCTGTTCTTCCTAGATGCCGTTATCTGCAGTACCACTGAAATACAAACCTGATGGTGACCTTCTGCATAACTATAAATGTCTTAGCTTACCCCTGCACTCTCAAGGGCCTGTAACTTTATGGTGTATTAGAGGAAAAAGTAGCTCATAAGGATCTTGGGTATCCAAATCTTTATGTTCACTTGTGTGTCAAAGCTGTTGAAACTGGAAGGATTCTCACATGCCATATGTATCCATGCTGGATATACCTGCACCATCCATGGCACAATAATAAGAACAAGATGTGGGCCTAGAAACTGACAAAAATGCAAACCTCAAAGCTGCCAAATTAAGTAAATTTGTCAGAGAAGCAGTGAAAGCATCTGCAGGCTGCATCTCATGAATTTCATAAGGAAGAGAATTCCACCAAATTGGGGCCAGGCATATTCCAGATGGCACAGATGGTTTAGCAAGTGACAGATTGAAAACAGAACCCAAATTATGAGCAAGTACATAAACAGAAATCAAAATTTCTCCAATAGGTAGGAATCAAAGCCTGAAGGGTCTTCAGAGACAATAATAACATGTTAATTTTAAGCATTAAGAAGTAGCCAAGTTGAATGCCTGAATAGGGAAGGAAGATGACAAGTTGTGAGAAAAGCGCACAGCTTTTCAGTAGCTGCCAAGTTTGGAGTAGATTCTTAACAAAACTGAGAGGCAGAAAATGGCCCCCCAAATGCAGCTATAGTCCAACCTGTAAACTGCAGAAAAGCAAGTCAAGATTTCGTTAACTGGCTCATTGCAAAACCAAAGTCTGAATACTGAATGGAAAAAATCACATTGTTATGGCTTTTTTAAACAAAATCCACTTCAGACTGGCTTTTATGACAGCCAATTTATAGATGGGTGAAAATGTGCAAATTAGAAGAACAGTCAGTACCTGTGGCCATGTGACGAAAATGTGTGAAAACAATAGGAGCAAAGAAAGAAGAATCAGAAGTAAGAATATTTAAATATCAATAAGGGAGAGAAGGAAATCACAGCAAAGTTAATCCTCAAAACGACATGTGGGGAAAAGTGAGAGGGATCTTAGCTCTGACTTTAACAAAGACTGATTATTTTATTCTCCAGTAATACAGGCCACCCTATTCAAATCAAATTCAAATCTTCAAGACAGCAAAATGTTTTAGTTAATTGATTAATAATTACACTGTAGGGGTGGTATAAGAACTTCTGAGTGTGAAATACCAGTTACAGGTTTGTGTGTGTGTGTATGTACACACACAGATATGTTTATACACACAGACATGTAAAATGCCTGGATAGAATTTTACAGCTGCATCTCCTACTCCCTTTATGCCAATGGTAATACGGCTTCCAAACAGCCATCCTTTTTTGGTAATGCTGTCCTTCATTGCTAATTAATCCCTAGATGTTAAACAAGGGCTGTGGGCCTTATTCATGTGTGAGAGTTGGTTTTGTGGCCCAGGGAAGGATTTCTATAGAATCAGAGTGATCTGGGACATGCTGTGGAGCTGACATGCTCTCTCTTAATACCTCCTAGGCTTTTCCTGGCAATATGGACAACAAGTATTTTCCTGGTAAAAGGTCAAAGTGATAAAAGCAGTGGTGGTTTGGTGTTTCAGGCATGGTTAGCCCTTCTGTGTGGTACTTTTGCAGGGAGGCCGTGGACATTCTTTTCCTGCTCTTTTTTAAAGAGCTGAGTATGTTCCACCTCCTATAGCCACATGAAGAAGGCTGGAGAACCTCAGTAGCTCTGCTCTGTCACTCTGTCCCACCATCCCACCATACACATGTACATTCCCCTTCAGTTTTCAGCATGGCAGAGGGCCATTCAGTCTGGAGGTTTTGTTTATACTTTTATCTGGCCAAGTGCACTAAATGCACATCCTCAAGATCCAGGTCAAGCTCTGGATTTATTCTAATGTGCATCCAAGGAGCTGTCTTAAGCAGAACTTTCTCCATAGTGCTTTGGTGTAAAACTGTATCATCACCCTTCTGTCACTCACTGTCAGAAAGCCAAAAAAAAAGAAAAAAGAAAAAAAGAAAAGAAAAAAAAGAAAAAAAGAGTATGTGTAGCCTATGAACAACCCATAAAATGTCTGTGAAAATTAAGTGGGGAAAAAAAAAAACCCTGTCTTTATGTTGAGCAGTTTTTCTTGCTGGCCAAGCAGGTCACCCTTTTTCTTCATCTTTTAATCTGGTCTATATGCAATATCATCTCTGTTAAAAAAAAACATCATCCTGGTTTTTTATTTTCCTGTCAGTCTCTGCCCTACTCCTTGCCCCACTGTCTTTCTGAATTTCTTTGATATTCAGATTGACTCTAATATGCTCTCAGATCAAGCAGCAGAAAAAAAGCAGTAATTTAAGTCACATTATAAATCCCAGATAGGCACTAGAGGTTTCTCCCAGTACTTGCCTCCCTCCCCTCCAAACATCACCAGAATGTTTTCAGGGTCTGATACTGCCTTCCTCCTCTGTCTTTCCTGAAAAAGGAAGAAAAATCCCCTGTGGGTGGAGAACACAGAGACCCTAAAGCCTCTTGTCTCCTCTGATGTTCAGCACGTGCGGAAGGCGTGGGAGGGAGGCAAGGCAGCACTGCCAGGGGGAAACGTGCTGGGCTCCTTGGGTAAAGGCAGCAAGCCTGTAGCTTAATGAATCAGCGGCTTTCATCTGAAGAGGGGCTTGCACAACATCACTAATTGGATTTCTCTGAAGAACTGCAGGTCCTAAACCATCACCTGGAAGGAGAAAGTGGTAAAAAGTGTGGACAGACAAGGTATGGTGTTGCTTAAAGGAAAGAGAAACTACTGGGCTGGAGACAGTGTCAGCACCAGCCTCGTGTGGCTGCTGTGATGTGAAGGGGCCCACATCAGTGACAGCATCTCAGGCACAGCAGGAGACCCTATTAAAAATAGGAGAAAACTGCCAGCCTTCATACAGCAGCAGGACCTTCTGTGTGACAATTTATCCAACCCCAGAGGGATGCCAGCATCCTTGGGGAAGACATGTACATTCCCATCTCGCTCCCCCATCCCTCTCCCTCACTGAAGTTGTGCCATCCATCTTTGGGCTCACCCTGCTGACTCCACTGTCTCTATGGGGTGTCTGATGTGGATACTGGGGGCACTGGCAGGCAGTCCCTTGGGAGCACCTGGTCAGGAGGTAGGAGCCTGCATTAGGGCTATGCCAGGGAGCAAACAGCTGACAGCTAATTAAACGTGGCTTTAGGCTGTAGTCACTACACCTTTGAGGAGAGGATTAAAGGAAAAATGCTTCAGCATGTTCTCTGTTAGAAAAGAAGTGTTCAAAGTCTCCATGTCTGCTCCACCATATATGGAGGTGGAGATGTTCTTTCAAAGGAGGCCTGTGACAATATGTGATGGGCTCTCACTAAGCAGGAAGACACAGATACTGAGAAATTTTCCTGATGACTGGGAATTCCCTTGCAATTCCTTGGATGTCCATGTTTTGCACCTGCTGGAGTTGCTGTTGACTTCAAAGGAAGCAAAGAGACAAATTTGGTTTCTATGTGTGTAAGAGGGTGAAAGCTTTGTCAGAAACCAAACGGAGTCTTCAAACTAAGAGTAGATTATCTAATCTTTTTTTTTCCTTATTCCCTCTATTACAATGGTTAATTTTTCGAAGTAATTTTGTTCTTTCCCTTTCACAGTTCCACTTCAGATGCCTGATCCAGCCTAGTACTTTCTCTCTGACCTCACAGTCTGTTGCCATGGAAATTCAGCTTGGTAACTTCAGTGATGGATTAGGCAGAAGACAAAAGATAGACTGGATAGGAAATTGTTACCAAAAATCCATAAAATAAAACTCCTTAACACTAATGTGGCATTAAGAAGCAGGCGTTCTTTATTTGGTAACAAATGTGTGAGGGGATATTTCCATCAAAATATTGCCCATGCTGAGTACAGAAAAGGCTCTTGTTTATATACATATGGTTATATAGTTTATATATGTATAAACATATATTATAGCTTTATATATATATATATAGTTTACATACATATTCATTGATTTCCTAGAAGAAACATACATATGATAATAATTTCCTTGAAGTCATCAGTGTATTTCTTCCCTCATCAGCGCATGTGTTCTCTTGTCCCAGGGGTCTCTCTGGTGGGTTTTGGTGGTCACTGACCCTGATGCTGTAGTTCACTGCCTGATGAACACAATATTACTTCCCAAATATGGAGCTGAGGTGGCACAACTAGTCTGGTTCATTACTTTGGAGATGCTTGACCAACAAAATGTATTCCATCCCTCTCCTTGGTTAACGTTTAACATAATCATCTTCACTGTGTGGTTTCAGAGGCTAATGGTTTTGCAAAATAATAATTGTCTTTTCCCTACCAGCAAATAGTTCTTCATCTGGAAAAATTTGCTAAAAGGGCAAGACTGGTTGTGGCTGTGCTGCTACCAAGTGTGAGGAAGCTGCTGAAAGCAAAGTCCTTGATTTGCTACACGATGCCTGGGATTGGGCTCTTGACCAGCTCATATGTGGCTGCAGCAGGAAAATGGCATACCTGGCAGCCCGGTGCTGGAGGAGGGGGTTCAGTCTGCCTTTCCCCACTACAGGTGGGCCACATCTCAGTAGCTTTCAGACAAGTACCAGAATTTCATCAACATTCCATCAGCCCCTGCTGGGAACCAGGGCTACTAGGGCTGGTCTATATGGCTGCAGATCCTTGATTTTCCAAGCCAAAGCACACAAGGCTCCCTCAAATACCTGCTTTTCTGTGGAAGGTCTTGTAGAAATCCCCAGTAAGAAGCTCTCTATTAGCAAGGCAAAGCCAGACACCCATTTAATGTCTTATTGCACCTAATCTTTGCTGTAGAAAGTTGTGGTGGGTATGCTTGCCCCTGTGGGTTTACGTGATGATTTCAGTGGGTTTCCAAGAAGGTGGGTGAGCAATGCTGCTGCCCCCATGGAGTGCTGCAGATGTTGCTGAGGGTGCATGGATAGGGCCAGATGTGCAGCATCTGATCAGCTCTTGAGAACCCCACAGCTTCCAGCATGCTGCTTGACATTTTGGTACAATCTGACGACTTGCAGTGTGTGCCCAGAGCACTGTATTGATGTCACTGTGCTGGATGTGGGCCAAGCATCCAAAGGGCAGTGAGTTGGTTAACACGATAATCACGTTGCATCCTAGTCTCTCCATTTGACAGAGCTTTCCGTTCCTGTTCATGACTCTGCCACATTTTGCTCTAAGGGCAAATATGACTTAAGCAAAGTGGCAGAAGGGAAAGAGACTAGTCAGCATTCATCAGGGAAAAGAGGTATCTGTGACGTAAAACAGTAATATTTGGGATTATAAACATCAGGAACAACTCCCACCACTGCTGGATACAGTCTGTTTGGTCTGATTAATCTTTGAGAACTGAGAGCCCCCAGTAAGCAACAGGAGTGCTGGAAAAATAACTGCAGTGAGGGTCAAGAAGCCTTGGGGTGGCAGGGTCTTCCATGTCCAATCCAGCAAAAAGAAGGGGGAGCTGACATGTCTCAGAAGAGGTGGTGCCTCTTCTCTGAGGGATGAGAGCTGCAGCAGCTGGAGACGTGCAGCTGGCTGCAAGCAGTGTTTAACAGCTGGCTTAACATCCAGCCCTACCGAAGGGCAGAGCTGTCCTTGCTTCATGGGAGTTATTTAGGTTCCCAGCATGATTTTATGCTCATGCCAAGGATTAGAGCGGTGCAGGGCCTCTGCCATTCTCTGAAGACAGAGTAGGGCACAGGGGCTTGTACAAAATGAGAGCCAAGCTAAAGGTTTTGGCTAAAGCCACTTTAGACTGGTGGAAATCCTTTCTCTGATGGCAGTAGCCCCAGGATCAGGCCTTGAATCTTTGCATCTTTCTTTGAACAGCCATGAATCTTTTTTAATGTGGGTTTAGGTCATCCTAAGAATTTGCCAGCATTCCCAGCCCTGAACTGAACTCTGGAGTCAGAGTTCAGCTGCACCTGCTTCTCCTGGGTTTGTGCAGGCTGGATTTGGTGGCATTGCTTTGAGCTCCCTGGGACAAGGGCTTTCAGTTGCTATGTGCTGGTAGTGGCCTTAGGCTCATGGAAACTTGCTTCTGGCTGCTTTTTCCAATTTCTTGGGCACAGCTTGGCCACATAAACAAGCAGAACGTGGGTAAGCAGAGCATAGGGAAGGAAGAGGGCAGTGATGCACCCATCCAATTTCTTCTTTATGGCAAGGATGACATGAACCAGCAATCCTTTGCTATCAAATTTGGTATTTTAATGGAGGATGTAGAAATATTGTTCATGCAATGCATAGCTTGTGACATACATTTTCCACCATCAGTCTGAAACAGAATGCGGATTGATACGATCAGTATTTGACCAGCAAAGCTGTAATATCACCAAATGAACCAGAAGAACTTTCAGCTGAGTGGCAGAATCTTTTCTTAATGTATCTATACAATACTTCAAAGTATTTGCAATGGATTTATTTCCAGCTGGGTCTAAATTCTCCAGCAAACTCCAAATTTATTACCTCTGTTGTGTGCAAAATACCTTCTTTATGCCTCATATCGGCTTCCTTTCAAACCAGGTGGTACTTAGAGTTTATGGCGTACTACATTATAGTCACTTACCATCATACATATTGTGTTCTTCCATGGCTCTAAATGTTAAAGGACACCTTTTTGCCCTGTTTGAAAGGAGGGGGAGAGTAGAAAACACATGTATTAGCAAAATTGCTGTCATTTATTTCATCACATCAAGGCTGAAATAACCAATCCATTATAAGGGAGGTAATACATCATCCATTATTTGCTGCTTGCTATGGCAAGCCACTGGCTCAGCACATACAGACTTATGGATTTGGTACGTGGAAAACTGTAGTGAATGTGGAGTTGTGACGAGCAAAATTAATGCTAATATTTACTGCTCTACACAACTGCTATATATCAACAGCTTCCCCCTCCCTTCCTATTTGCCCCCCTCTGTACATGCAGGCAAATTTTCCAGCTATTTAATTTCCATCCCAGCTATCACTCAGTAGCAAGCTTGTCAGCAGGGGCCCTGACCCTTTAGAGGACAGAAATGGAACAGAGGCCTGAGGGAGGTTGGTTTGCCATGCCACTGTGACCTCCTCTTTGGCTGCTGTTGTGCCTGTGTGTGCAAAGAAGCTCCAGAAGGATGCTGCCTGTGAACTTCTCTCTCCACAAAATAGTTTAATCAAAATGTTTTGAATCAAGTGGAGGATGTCTGGCTACGCAAAGCAACAAATTTGCCATCAAATGTCTTGAGCCACTCTAACAACATAGTACCTTATAGTGTTGTATAAATAGTATGCTTCTTACCTTATGGTGATATATATAGTATACTTCTTATTTTTATATCTAGAAAGTATATGTCATAGAAGATAGATAGATAGATAGACAGATAGATAGATAGACAGATAGACAGACAGACAGACAAATAGATCTGCTATATTCTTACAAAGCCACCTGGTTGCAACACCCGTTTATTTAGGCCCCTGCTCCTGTTCCACTGATGGCAGGGTCAGAGTGAGGCATAAGTAGGTTGGATCAGCTGTGTCCTGTCCCACTTTGAGTTGGAAGAGGACAGGACCCCATGGGGACAAAACAGGCTCTGTCTTTGCGCTCCCAGGAGCTGCAGACAGCCCTTCTGCAGCTTCATAAGAGGTTTCCTTTGGCAAATCTTGGAAAAGCAAGGATAGGCCCGGCAGCATGACTAATGTCAAGGCTTCAGTGACTTTCCATGTGTTCCCTGAAGTTCTTTGCATGCAGACTTTAGGTTCCTTTTGAAGTAAAGCAAAAACGGCCACATGTTCAAGCCTGCCTCTTCACAGTCTCTTGTCTATCGATGCAACAGGACGAGGCTTGGTGTTTATAGTTTCTGGACTCATTAACTACATGTTCAGGAAGTGGATCCATAAAATTAATTAACCCTGAATGATGCATCAGTACTCCCTATGGTGCAGACATCAGCCCTGTACTCCTATTTTTGCAGTATGGACAGCAAGAGCACACTCCAGGATTAGTTCTGTCCAGAACATAGCTGCTCCACGTGCACATCCCAGGCAGCTGAGCCTGTGCTAAATCACCTGCCCTTTGGAAAGGCAGGGAGAAACACCAGGTAACCTGACCACCAATGTAACTTGTTTCACCTGCAGTAGAACAAAATCACTGCTGCTATTGTAGTGTATCATTATTTTCTGGGTCTGAAATGTTTTTCTAACCAAATTTTACTGTTTTCCTGAATGCTGAGTTGCAGGTGGTTTATAACTACCACTATTCTATTATTTTTAAATAAGAATGCTGTATGCTCACCGAAAATCAGAGTGGCAAACCTCCTATTAGTCTCTCCACCTTTCAGCATTCCCATGTCACCCTCTTTAGCTAAATGGGAGTTGTGTGATGCACCTTGGGGAGCAAATCCCCATAAATATGCAAACACTGTAACCTATTTCTAAAGAGGAACAGCTGCACTATTACACTTGGTTTCTCAAAACAGCCAGAAGATAATGGGTCCAGATTTGCCCTCAGCTCTGCTTCTATAACCCCTGTGATTTCAGTGCCTTGTAGGTGCCTCATGGATGGGCAGATCCTGCTTCCCCTTGTGTATTGTTTTGTCCTATTCATTGTCAGCATCAGGGTGAGATTGAACCTGATGGGGAAGCCTGGTGGCAGAGGTGGACTGTGCAGGCTTTTTGTCTTAGAAGCATGAAGTAAAAATGGTGGAACAGGTGTCTTGGTTCTTAAGAAACAGCTGTGTTTTGCCCTTCACCACCAAAAAAATGTATTTCAGCATCTCAGTGACCCTTCCTTCTGGTGATCAAGATATGGGCATTTGTGTCTCAGTATTTCTGTATTTGCCAGGAGAGCTTGAGAAGGAGCAAAACAAGTCATTCATGGCTCACTAGAGCAGTGAGTGGTTGCAGCTTTTGACAGCGTGACAACTGAGTAATAACATGTTTTCACATGGTGGCTCCACGTGATGTCCTCAGTGTCTTCATGCTGTACTAGAGATTCCCTGTCCCAGGGAATGACATGTGAAAGGGGGTAGTTATATGGTGTTTCATAACCACTGCCTTTGGCTAAGGATGTTTATGCAGTTAGGCTGGTCAGAAGGTTTTCAAGTGCAAATAGTTTTTAGCTAAAAAGGGACTAGAGGTAAACCAGCTTTGTTTGTTTGTTTGTTAGTGCATCTTATATGCAACAAAACAAGTTGTTTTTTTAGCATCTGACTCAAATTTGTCCTTGAACCTTTTGATACAAGCATTTGGAGCTGTGGGGTTTACTTCCATTGGCTTGTACTTTTAAAAATCTCATTTGATCCAAAACTGCAGAAGGCAAATATGGGTACAAGTGCTCTTCAGAGAGTGACAGGATGACTGCGATGTCCCTGCAATGCCTAATATGGAGCAGGCTCCTCACCCGACCAACGTGTCTCAATATGAAAGGCATAAATATGTCAGATGATGATAAAAACATTGGGCACTCTTTGTGAGCATGGTTCTGGCTCTGGTCTGGGCTTCAAGGTTCAGCTTGAAAGATGGGGTTGCCAAAGCAGGCGGTGAGCAAGGATCTGGGAGAAGTCTTACACACGCTCCCGATAGTCATCGTGGCAAGGCTTCTGTCTGTGAGACATAAGGAACAGATTAAAATTTCCCTGAACAGCCTATGATTAACTGATGCTAAGAGCAAAAATGTCTCTTCTAGGAAAGAAGAAAGCCACAGTCCCACTCAGGAGCATGTAGGCTCTTCCAGAGCTAATTTATGATGGAGGTGTGGGAATTGTTAATTACTTCTGTGGTAACAAAACCACCGTTACTGCCTCAGATACATTTCTTTTTCCAGGCTCTTCCCCAGTTTTTACTTGTTCCTAATTTTCTCAAGAAAGTTCCTTGAGGGGTAGCAATGTACCTTTCAGGTTTGGCTCAATCTAAAGATGAATATTTTGAGAACTCTCAGCAAAAGCAGCCTGGCTATTTTTATGATATGTGGGCATGAAGAGAAACCAGCTATTCCTATTTGTTCCGGTTGCAGCTTCTCTGACCTCATAACTCAAGAAGAGCTGACGCTAGGAAATTTGAACCCAGCTTGTTTTATAGACCTCAGTGATGAAGGAGAAAACAGTTCATGTCTGAAGAAAATCAATATTTCTAGAGTTGGGAGCAATTAAAATTGAAGGCCAAATTTTGCTTTGAAATACAGCAGCATAGCCCTCCTGAAATGCCAGTCTGAGGGCAGAGCTCATCCTGGCATAGTTTGTACATATTGATGAAGAATTTAATTTTTCCTAGAACATTAAACTGAGGTTGAAGGGAGGAATGTCAGATTTAATCTGCATGAGAGGCCCGGTTCCAGCTCTGATGCCATACTCTGGGCCAAAGTACAAAAAATGTTCATTCAGCAAGGAGTAAATATCTCAGCCATGTCAATGGGAGGTTTGTGCAATGATCAGAAAGAGGATTTTGCCATATACAAGCAATTAGCTTTTTCAGATAACATTATTTATTCTGAACATAGTTCTTACATCCAGTATTGCTTGATAAGAAGATATGCCATCTTCCATTCTTACTTTATTCTGTTCCCTTTTTTCCTTCCTCTGTCTTTCACCCTACTCCCTATCTTGGGGTATCTCTTTTCTTCTCCCTTCTTCCTTTCCTTCCTTAAAGCAGTTCTCTGCAGAGGTTTCCCTAATATCTTACCCATTCCAAGGAGTAGTAAAGAGCTAATGCTGGAATTCAAGTGTCGTTTTGGGGCTTTAACTCGACATTTTGGTGGCAGTAGAGAGAGACAAACCTTCAATTTTTAGAAGACCCAGAACACAGGTATGGATAACATCTCATCAAAATATTGAGGGATCAGTCACATAAATCTGTTAAGTAAGTTTGAATCAGCCTTTGACTTGGGTTTTTCATTAGGTGAATTTTCTTGCTTCTTTCAAGCTGAGCACTTGTGTGAAATTCCAGATAAAATTCCACCAGATCTGCCCCTTCATCTTCAAATAAGCTTCTTGACCTAAGAAAAGCCACTGTAGATTGCAAATTGTTAAAGGGAAGAGACATGTTAAAACCCCTTAAACCCATAACATATTTATAGAAAGTGGATTTTTCCAGCTCCTGCCTTTATTGAATTGCCACGTGCTCTATCAGGCAAACTGCAAACAAACAGCTGTTATGAAATCAAGTCTTCCTACTCCTAAACCATCAAAAGAAACCTCCACAAATGACCCAGCCATCCCCTGACATCTCTTGACAAAATTCTCTGCTTAGTCTGACAGAGGTGTCCCCCAGCAAAGCCCTCCAGGTCTAGCTGAGGTCAGTTTGTCAGCTAGGACTCTGTTCCACCCAGTTCAAGAGAATTCTACCTCCTGTGGTTTGGAGGCAGAGCACTCCATTCTTACACCTCACCTGAGTGTCAGTTGTCATGACTTATATTTGGGGTTAAGAAAATGTGGTTATGTCTTCACTTTGCATTAGGAGGCATCCTTTTAAATTGATTTTATATTCATAAGCTGCGTGCCATGTGTACATGGTGGAATATTTTGCCATATGTAGAGATAATGCCTCCAAGTGAGTAATTTTGCTCAGGGACTGTAATAGAGACTGACAAGGAGACTCAAATGCCTGCATTTTTATCTCCTCTCCTATTGGAGATGATGCTGTGTGGACAC